ATTTTATGCTTTATAGAACTTCTTTAGAGACAAGCTTGTATTATTGACGGATCGCTTTATAAGTAATTATATTCTGCTTGTTTGTCTATAATTTATTCCCAAGGGAATGCGGTACTTCAAAAGGGTATACAGATATACCTTCATTGCTGAAGGCAGATATCCACGCCTTAAATTCGCGTCTTAAATTAAAAAAATTCCACTCCACTGACGTATACAGTTCCATACCTTCCTTCCAAATACCTCTTTACATAAACCTTTATGACAACTATTAGTTTATTTTTGAGAAATATTCCTATTAAGCCATGCAAATGTTTTACTAGTTACTCACTCCTCAATGTCTACTTTTCTCAATTCATAATGCGGGCTTGGTTATAAAAATTGCTATTCTACTGTTAGCAAGGAATTTTACTAAAGCCTCAGTATAAATGGCGATGTGTTCTCTTAAACGTTATCTTATCTAAGTTAATTCCATTGTTTATATATCATTTTGTATGAGGACAAATTACAGCCATGTGCTTACAGCTATAGTTTGGTTTTATATGACAGTTCCGAAAGGTATTCTCGTTAGGTTTGTTCTTCAGTATCACTAGTTTTTAGACATGGCTGTCATTCTTACCTTGCTTGTATCATAATTCTAGAGTTGGTTATATCTGCTTTTTTATCTTTTCCTGTCAGTTTTTGCAAGACAGGCTCCATTATTGTTGTCTGCTTTATAGTTTTTTCATCGAAATTTCTTCTTATTAAGGTTCTATTAGGATTTTCGGATGCTCCAGATTCCAGCGGGCGTGTCCTTTCTTTTTTTTTATTCTGGAGGTCTCTAACTCTCCATCTTCTTTAAACCTGTATGTAGTAAATAAGGATCTTTTGATCTTACTAAAAATCAATCTATTTTTCATAGCTCCTGTCAAACCAGCATTGATCCTCTGTCTAAAGAACCTTCAACGACTTGGTAAGCATGTGAAACATTAAGGCTCTTAGCCATTTCCATCATTTCCATTCCACTCGTACCGATTTTGCTTTAAATACTCATTCTTCTCTTTCCGCCTCTTTGTATTCCTACCTTCTGCAAACTATTTTCTGCTCTGGTCCATCAATTCAGTAAAAGCGGGCTTCTTTGGTTCTCTGAATCCAATGCCAGTAATTCGGCTTCTAATGGATGGGGAACTGCTTTGGTTCATTTAACTCCAGAGACTAGTCACACAAGTGATTATAAGGTTAGTTATCTTCTTTCACATCTTGTGCTTATTGCCATGGAATAACATTGGAACATTGATGGAATGGCATTCTAACTCTTTGTTCTCAGGATCCACAGTCCCGCATACGAACGATAGAGACAGGCAAAACACGCTCTTTTACATCATGTTTACATGAGCCTCCTCACCCTTATGGCTAATAGACCTATGCCTGATACACCTCCATGGCTTCTCTCAAACACATTGGTCTTAATTTCATGAATTACGTACATAGGTTTACCTTTCTTTTACAATGCCTCTATGAGTAATTAAACCAAAAGTTTTAAAAAATTTCACCTTATGTATTTGTGTCAGATTGGATTTTGCATTGCAATTAATTTACATCTTCACTTTATTCAAAATGAAGGGGAAACTGATGTTTAACAACTTTTACCTATCCTTAAATGATACTATTTTCTACAACTTTAAAAATATGTCTCATACTGGAATTAAGGGCTTGTGAGATAATTCACTATTCTCTCTTCCAGTCATAGTTACTAGTTTGAAATTCGATACTGTTGAACTCATTGAAGTTTCCGTTCTACCTCCAGTGAATCAATATGGGTTATTTAAATCTCGTTACAGTTTATTCATTTGCTTTCATCGCAGAATCTACTGTCATCTAACTTAAATACGCACTTTCTGCAAAGAACTGGTGTTTTCAAATCAGGTATGCTTGCCATCCCGGCTTGCATTATGCTCTATTTATTATTAGGGTCGTATAAAGATATCCATTCTATTAACCATAAAACCTTTATTTTTCGTTTAGGAGGATGGGTGATAGAGGTTCGTTAATTTACCTCACCGGAAACCAAAGTAGGATTGCCTTAGAGCTGTGATTGTAAATTTGTGCATAGAAGTCTTCGGTGCGCAAGTCAACTGTGAAGCCAATTTATGAATCCTTTCTTTCTTCCTTTTAAAACGAAATGCTGCTATTTATATCTTTTATGCAATGGCCATTGGACTTGGCGAGTAATATAACTTATTTTGAGTTAACTATCTATCTCATTTTGATCATTATACGCTTACTTTTGGATATTACTTTTTGGTAACTATTTTATTATCTGAATCCAAATCGTTTTGGTGACTTTAATAAAGTCTTAATCATGCTACATCCTAATGCAAACTGGATCATTCGACACTGTTTATCTGACCTCATTGCATTTGACTATACTAGATCAAGATTAGCGGCTTTTCAAAGGGAGCCCAAATGCTAGCTCTCATATAAAGCTAATTTCTTTCTACTTAGAATATGACGAACCTGATTGCTGGCTACATTTGCTAGTAGCTTACATAGCCTCCAGGAACACATAATACCTTGTCATTGACTATTGATTAATTTCATCCTATTTTCAACAGTATGTCGATCTCCTGTAGTTGACCTCAATTTATAGTATGCACATGAGATGGACGGACTAGTGTCACTAGCATAGCTACAACTTTGGCAGACTACTATGACTTCATGTATTCTGTTTTTTCTATGCTATCATATTTTTGGTAGCTTCCATGGTTCATTCATTACCGAGTGGGCTTTTAGGTCAGCCTAATTGCTTCAATTCTATCTCAGTTGACATCTGTTGTTCAAATTATTATTTATTCTTGTATACCTCCACCGTAGTAGCATTTGCTTAAAAGTTTTCATCGTCATTTCTCGACTCCATAATGATGCTTTTTGTTTACGCCTGATTATGAAAAACCGGTGCCAAATACATTTTCACCTCGACGAGGTAACTTTCATCACCACCTGTCCTAGGTTATATCTGAGCTATCCTATATCTAGGTTAGTTGAGCCAAACTTTACTACCTTCACTTGTGATTTCGGTTGCTTTTATTTCCGTTTGACAGACAAATACATTACCTGAAATGGCAATAACACAGCATAATTACTTGATAATTTGTTTGACCTTATCTTCGCAACTTGGTCATATTAGTAGGAAGACCTAGAGGAATGCACCTTATCCAGAGTCCATTGCATGCATGCTCATTTCCAGAGTCGGACCGTGGAAGTGGCACATTACCAGACGTTTCGCCGGCATCGTAGTCTGCCGGTTGTTTGGCGGACAATTGGTCAGAAGATAGGCTCGACTTGTTTCTTTGACGAGTTGAAGTGTGGCACTAAGAATGGCAAGACTCACTGATGATGCAGACTACGATGCTGGCGAAACGTTTGGGAATGTATCACGTCTACGGTCTGGCTTTGGAAGTTATCATGCATTTTATGGACTCCGAACTAAGTGCGTTTCTCTAAGCTTTCCTACCAATATGACCAAGTTACAAAAACAGGGTCAAACAACTTCTATACAACCAAAGGAGACTGCGACCATACAAAAGGCCACACCATCTTAGCCTCCATATCTCCGTTGATTATTCAAGTTTCATTCGTCTATAAGTGTTTATTAGGGATGATTAATACATTGTTTTCTTCCTTTTCTACCTTTCGTTTCCTATTATTTGTGTCTTACATTTTTCACTTATTTACTAAGAATGTTAATGCCTGCCTTTTAAATCGAACTTTCTTTCCTTATGCAAGTATAAGTTAGTCTTAATGTCCTGATCCCTTTTATCATCATTTCGCTGCTATTTTTTTCCCATTTTTCGTATCTAAGTACAGTTTTGAGACTACCAATAAATTAACTATATGAGATGTATTCACTTTATTTCGTTTAAGGTGATGAAGGACTGGTAGTTGAATTTTCCCACAATAATATGAGTAAAGCTGAAGTTTTCATTGAATTTCACATAGCTTTGCCTTCCCAAAAGTTGTTCCTCTCTAGCTCTGAGCAAGGCCTATTTTAATGACCTTTGTAAATACTCTTTTAATATCACCTCAGCATATTTTAGATTTGTAGACATGATTCGTTTGAACTATCTCGCATCGCAGTTAAGAAACCCTATTTGTCCCAATAGTCAACATTTTTTATTAAATTATCCTTTGTGACCAACTTCGTATTCATCTTTGAACGAAATATCTTTGCATTCTTGCTTTGCATCTTAGCCAAGCTTTCTATTGCGTTAGTCTTTGTTCTCTTCCGTTCTTTTTGAGGACTTTAGCATCTGTCATCTGGAACTTCTCAGTCTTTGAGGTAGTATGGCTTTGCTGAGGTTAAATGATCGGCTTATCAACTTTCACATTTTCCATTATTCCACTATTCAGTTTTTCAACAAAAATTTCTTTTTAAAAGGCAATTTTTATTTATTGAAAGGGACTTATTTTCTCTTATCTAATCTCAGCTATATCTTTGTTTCACTTGAACGGTGAGGGTGGTATGATGAAAATGGATAATAAGATGGACAATAAGAGATCCAGTCGCTTCGATTAAGATGGTCTTTTTTCCTTTTGTTCCTTGGCAGCTTGTCCTTTGGATCTTGTCATTATTTTCTATCAGATGCCCTTTCTATGTAGATTCGCGCCACTATCGTCTATTCCATTATTCTGAATAATCATATTCATTTATGTTTGTTTGTTCTCTCGGCCTTTACATGTCATCTGACTGGATATATTCTGACTCTAAGTCCTCTCTTTTTGCTACAGGCTTATTTTCGTAGAAACGTCTCCAAGGATGTCTTTTTGAATTTCCTTTAGACTCAGCACAGCCAACTCTTTCATTGGTCGACTATCTTCTTGTTCGCGCTGTATTCATAAACAGTCCTTTACTATTTTTGCAAATACGCCTTCAAACTTTCCTCCAGTACATTTTTCTTACTTTTTGTTCGGTTCCAATCTTATCCAGTTCTTGCCGCCGTAAAGACGAAGATTCAACTGACCGAATGGTCGGAATGTTCTGGTGAGCCTGAACTTTTGCTTATCAAAGCATCTGATTGGCATGGAATGGCAGAGGGATATATAAGCGGACCATTGGCTTATTATATATTAATTTTGAATGTATGAATCCTTGTTTTTTTAATTAATTAAATGCATTTATTCCTATCCTATTATATTTCATTCTTCAGAATCATATATCTTCTTATTTTAACTAGTTATCCATACTTTTATTTATTTTATCTTATTTTCCTCTATCTTATATTCATGTCTGTCTTTTTTATATTCGTATTGTTGGTTGCATTAAGCTGCTTGTACTTATTATTTTCGTTTTCCGATAAGGCCGAACAATGTTAATTTATATATATACTTCTAGAGTGGTTTTGAGTTTAAGTTATCTTCATTCTTGACTTCTTTTACTACATCTTTTTATAATTTGCTCAAGGATTTAGCTTCTTTCAATTCCACTTTTATTCATTATTACGACTTAATCGTGCATAAGATTTCGTTCAATTCCTCTGACTTTTTTGAATGTCAGAATTAGCTTTATTCCTCTGTCTGCTCCATGCCAACTTTTGCATTGTTCACTGGGCCTAAACTTGCCTGTTTGCTTCTCGTATTCACACCTTGACGTCCACTTCAAGTCAATCGGAAACAATCTGGTCTAATGATGACGAAGAAGAGGTGGCGCAAACAGCCTTTTCACACAGCCAGATCTGGCGAGAAGCTAAGATCTCGCTGGTCTCTTCCACGAGGCAGTCCAGCCTCGACTACAAGGTACGTCAGGTCCCTCCGTCCTGGCTTCTTCGTTGCCTACATCGTGATTATTTCATAGAGCTCGAAAATTTATTTGTTCTGGGCGTCTTACTCGGCCCAATTTTCATATTGGCGCCAAAACTTTAGAGCTGCCTTAATGCTAGTATTTTCATTTATTGGATGTGAATTTCACTCTGTGATATACACATCTATCTCCACTGACAATATACTCATGGCTGCCCTGACCTGGATTTGTATACTAAACGTATTATCTCTGAATTCTTTTGTGTCAGTATATAATCACATTGGAATTGACCACGATGGATGACCTGAAATAATGATGGAACCTATTTCTTAATGGCTCTCACCATATTCTTTTGATTTGCTCCTGGCATCGGTCTTGTCTTGTAGCTTTTATTTTCTTCTTTCCCTTGCTTCTCGACCAGTTTAGTCATTGCCTTTATCTGTTAAGATACCCTCAAGGGTTTGCTATTTAATGGTATTTAAACACACTTCCTTTATGTATGTCTGTACTGTTTGTGAATGTGAATATTCTCAGTTTAGGTAGAATTTTGTACTTGTACGATTGTATAATTCTTATCGAACTTATATTTTGGACTAAATGAATCCTCTTCAATTATTTATTTAATGTATGAATAACCCTCGTTTTCATATATAATGGGTTTTTATATTGCTTTTATTTTACCCCCGGTATAGTTAAAACTTATACGGGCCTAATTTTATTTTGGTGTATGAGAAAAACTGTTTGCTTTCATATATTGCATTGGATATTTATGTTAATTTTGCCTTCCTAAATAACTAACAGTTTAAACCTATATTCATGAAAGATTTTTCTGTTTAATTTGATAATTAATTTCTACTTTAAGTAGATCTGACTAGATCAGTAGTATTTCAAAACTCATTATGCCATCGTTTAGAATGGAGCTTGTTTTCTGCATGTGACACTTGCCACCTCTCTAACTTAGGGGGCTTGGTAAAATCATATTGCTTTTGAACTTTACTAATTTTCTTCTTATTACCAATTCATGTGTATATACGGCCTCTACTTATCTAAATTTGCATACATATATCTATATATCTACTATTCCTCACACATCGAACTGTGTTGGCTCTGGCTATGGCCGCCATAAATTCCTTTATTCACATATATATTATCCTCACATTCACATACCGATTTATATTTGGCTATCTCAGACTTTCTATATTTGTATGAGGGTTCATATCGAATTTTTGCTTGGCATATCTTACATTTTTCTCTTTTGCGTTTTTTTTATTGGAGTTTATCTATTACTCCTAGGACTCTAAGACCATATCTTCATTCCCTAATGATATATATAATTTTTTATTTGCATTATAGCAAACTTTTCTGATAATTTACGTATTCTGAATTCCTTCATCGGGAAGTTGTAGGCCTAGGCTTCCTTGCAGAAACTTAATGCTTGACACTTTTCATGCTTCAAGGATATTTTTCTTTTCTTATTCTCTATTTATGTGTCGATGTAGAAACTAGGTTTGTGCTGCTCTTAGGGTGTCCGTAGTCTCCTTTATCTTTAAAATCTGTTCGGTTTTTTGCAATTTGACAGCGAAACTTCGACTTATTATTTTGAAGAATTATCTCAACAGCTGTTCTTTGCTCGAGTACATTCTCAGCCGAACATCTTCCGCTATTGCCAATGCCAAATGGCATGAAGTGCATCCGACCATATCTTGTCAAAGTGACGAGCCAAGTCCATCCCTTTGACCAGGTATTATTGGGTGCCAAAATTCGGGTTTATAGCAAGTATTATGAGTATCCAATGTGTGTTGGCCATTGATGTGGTCTTCATTTGCAGTTAAAGAGATGTATTTTTATGCCTCTACAGTGTATGCTACTATTGATAAAAACTGCAACGGAAACAAAACCTGAATAGGTATATTGGTCAAAGATTCGTTGTTTGTAAAACATTCTGCATAAAACATAGCATCAAGAACTTTCTTTATCCACACCATACTTGACATTATTAATCGTTGCAGAAGCTGTATTACATAGCATCTTTTCTCATTTACTTTTATCAATTTCGCACCAAATTATTTCATTTTTTAAATCACCCGACTTTCCCGACTCTTAATTAAAAAATAATAGTTTGATGGGGTTCCGGAGAAACACCTTTTATCAGTACTTAACCTCTTTTATATAGTATTGGTTCGACCTTGGTTGCATCGTCAGGGAGACCTTGTGGAACGTATCTAGTCCCGTGTCCTCTGCCATAGTATTCGTGATTTCCCACATTGGACCATTGGCTAGGTGCATTCCTATACATTTTTCCGGCATCGCCAATAAGAGGCGCCATCGTTAGGGCATAGTTACAACCTACCAAATTGACAAGTAAAGACAATCTCCTTGACGAATTTTATGTCCAACCGTTGTAGCATCACTCATCGCCCCTATTTTTTGTTCCACCTTCTAGTGTTGCATCTATTTTTCTCAACCTCACTTGATATGGCTCATCCACTTATTCACACAATTCGGTGCTCTCATTTCCTCCAATGCCGCCTAAGAGTGTGTCGCTACAAGTGGGTTTAGTGAAGCGTAATCATCTCCATCACCGGTACCAGATGCCATCTGTAGGGCTCCTGGTCTACATTCTGCCCCTCACCTTTTTTTCCTACCCGTTTGTCAATTGGTCGCTGCTAAACATCTTAACCATATATCTAGGATCAAAATCACTGTTTGGCTGTCTCAAATCTGGCTGCCTAAGAGCCTTTAATTCTCGTCCTCGATTGCACCATATTCAAGGATTTAGAGCCCATGTTCATGCCATGTTAGTGCTTGGTAAGCTTCCTCTCCATAGGCTTCAAACCCATGACCCAATTATCTTCTCCCTCATCTCCACCCACCCTCATCTATATATTTGCATTTGGCTAAAAATTATTTTTTAAACGTTACATGCGCTACAATCTTAAGTTTCATATGTCACATGCTTCCACTGTTTTGAGTTTTGGAGCTTGTGACGCGTTATTTAATCAGTTTTTTTAATTTTTGATCAAAGTTATTATTCGTTTTGAGTTAGCAAAGTCTTTATCTCTCCATTCAGGCATATTTTTTCTAGAAGTATGTCTGTAGTGGGTTGCTAATGTGGAAGAAACATGATTTTTTTGAATTATTAGTGAATAATTTAATTTGAACTCCAAACGAAATGAAACTTAATCATTGTTTAGGTGTCATATCCAACTAATTAAAAATTCGAAAGACTTTTGAACGCAAACAATTCTACTTGAAAAGCACATGCATCCCCTAGTGTTTGTAGCTCCTACACTGTCTTTATCGACTACATCTTGTGGATTCATACTATATTCATTCCATAATCACCACTCAATCTTGATCGATATTCAACTGATGAAGTGAGCTAAGGCTTTTTTACAATAAATTATTTTAAAATCTACTTAATCCTCTAAGAGAAACTATATTGGTCTGCTCTGATGGGCTCTTGATTTATATATCATCAGCGTTCCAAAATAATGCCTCTAGCAAGAAATCAAATCTACATTTTTCCTATATCTAATATTTTCTCAACATACTATTTATCGTGTACCAATATCACTGTACTTGATTACTGATCACCAAGAGCCATTATCCATGCTTAGTTGAATTACTAGTAGTCCGGAAACCCTACTTATAAGTGAATTATTTTACATAAGTGGGATTTAGCTAAATTATCTGACTCGCTTTTCCAGTTAAGTAATTTTTCATATTTATCATTTAAAAAATATTAAAGATGATGAATACCAAGATCCCTATCCTTGATTGCATAAAGTTTATTCTTATTTAAACTGCACGTTCCTATGACATTCCAACGCAACATATCACAATTTCATCCTTTTTCATCTATATTTTTACTTGCTTTTGATTTTAGTCAATCGCCTATAAGAACCGCATTATTGTGATAAGTCAATGATCCTAACATTATAGCTCTCGAACCCGCCCGAGACCTATCTTAGCTATTTGGGCAATGAGATTCGTTTTTTCATTCCTAGGTTTAAAAGAGTTATCCGCCACTATTTTATTGTCATATATATGTCTGTTTTTATCCTAGAGTGCACATCTCTGGCTTGACAAAATTGATCTCTATGGCTTAGCTCTTCATAGAATTTACTTACCGCAAAACCAATATGGATTGGGCAAAACTTAATGCTTTTTACTTACATCTATCATATATATATCTCACGAATGAAAAGTGATTACTGTCTAAGCGTGGCCATATATGTATATACCCATACCTGAAAATAATCACTTTTCTTTACTTCGGAGCATTTTATTCTCAACCTAATTAATATGAACGAAGATTTTGGCTTATACTCTTACTAGAACCTTAGGATGGCAATAGTTCGCTTTTGATATTTTATTGATTAGCAACACTAATACATTTCCTTATTCTATTTCCTTGTTTTTCCTCCTTTTCTTCTGCTCGTCTCAACGTCTGGATACCACATGGGCTGAGTCCGGGACCGCCTTACTTATCTTGGTCTGTCTTCATCATCGAAACT